CCAAGCTTGAAAAAAAAAAAAAAAAAAAGTGCATTCTGGCAGGGCTTCTTAAAGTGTTCGTTTGCGGGCCCCTGCGAAAGATATGCGAGGGTCCTCTCCCCCCACCCAACCCCCAGTTGCCGATTTACATAATACAAAAGTTTTAATAATATTGCAGCTGAATAACAAACAATTAAAAATTATGGGAATTGGCGTCTGCTGCACGTGATACATTCCTTACAGTCTGTCACTCTAAAAAAAAAAAAAAAAAAAAAAGTTACAGAAACACTGCAATGAGTGACTATTCATGTGATATACATGCCGTACTGATGTACCAAGACGTGTTCTTAACACAGGAGTTTGAAAAGATCCTGTCGGAAATTTCAATAGGCCTTTAGAAATAGGAAATTCAATAGCAACCTTAAAGATGGACTTTTGTACCTACAAGCAAATTGAAGAACACTGCGATGTTCTTTAGTGCGCCCAAAAGTTAAAGACCATTTTGTTTTCTGTATCTTGTTTGGTTCGAAAATCCCCCTACAAAAAAAAAAAAAATGTGGGTGGTAGGGATGCTCTTGGATAAATGAAACCCATTTGAATGATGTCGTATCTTATATGTTAACAATTAGTTTGTGTATTACATATGAGTTTCCAAATGGCCCAGCTGTTTCTATCATAAGATCAGACACGCGGTTCATCTCGTGTTCACAAAGATTACAGTCAGGGACGTCATTTGGGTAGGGCAGAGTCGGGCATTTGCGCCCCCCCCCCTTTGAATTTGCAGGTTTTATTTAAATTGATATGTACTGTGGCGCCTCCAGTAATATTTATTTAAATTGATATGTTCTGTGGGCCCTCCATTAATAAACAACATAACAAAGAGACCAAAATTTAGTTTGCCCCCCCCCCCCCCATCCCCCGGAAAAAAAAACCCTGAAATGCGCCCCTGTTAACAGTGCAATTGATATCACTAGTTGCTCTTTTGTTTTACCCGACGTTGTCCAATAGCATCTACGGAACACGTCGCTCACAACCGATTCACTTTTTGAGCTGTCTGTAGAGTTGCTGTAATGTAATGGGTCGTTAAACCCTACCCGCTTCCCTGTAGTCTTAAAGTCAAGGTCTGAACTCGTTGCCTGCATGTTAAGACGAGGAAAAGACGCTACGCTCACTTGTTGTTTCATAGATTGCTTCAATCTTTTTTTTTAGCATTCCTTTAGTCCACCTCCATGTGAACATATTTTTTCTGTTATGTACGTCAACTATAGGATTGCAACGTGAATAACAAATATCTCGATGGCGTCAACCAGTCTCTGACCCACATGACCACAAAGGTCGGTGACTGTACTGGTGACTGGAGCGTGACGTCAGACAATAACATAATAGACACATATAATTTATTGAAGGCAATGCGGTTGGGGAATTATTTTTTTTTTTTTTTTAAATTTGATCCTTTATATTCACTTCGATTTTGGTCGAGTGTTTCTGGCTGGCAAGATCTTCGGACTGCTAATTTACCCACTTCCCGTCAACCTATGGAACTGAAACTCGGCATTTAGACGCGTTGCCGATGACAACACATGCTGTCAAATTTGTAGCCCCACCCCCAAAAATCAGTTGTTCCTGTTTTTCAAGGGGAAGATGACGGAAATATGATGCCACTGATTTAACGAAATAAAATTCCCGATAATATCGCAAGTGCGTTTGTTGCGAAA